ATGCTTCTGGGATTCTCTACTCTTTCTGCTTTGCCTACACGCTCTTTACGAACAAAACGCCGTAGTTTCTTCTCCTTGAGTTGTTCTCCAAGTTGTCCATGAAACAAAAAACGACATCCTCGTCCTTGATGATCTAATTTTGAAGCGATATAGAAGGAGCTAGGCCGTGTATGTACAGATTTCTCGAATGACAGCCAACAAACACATGGCGCTTCCAGTGTGTTCAGCTGTTCATACTCGTCGGCATCGGGTCGCAGAAATTGGCATTCTGCCATGACTATCTCAAAGCCTATGGAGACGTGAACTTTCATTCCAGATGAAATCGTTCCTCGATAAAATGGGATAGCTATGGCCGTGGCGATGCACGCATCCATCTCAGTCAAAGCTCCAGGTGAGCAAACTGCAAATAATTGCTTAGAAACCTGGATAGCGAAGTCATAAATTTGCAAAAAAGAAAATATACCCATAGTGCGAGAAATTGACTGAGCATTCAGCTGCTGCACTAGAATTGCAGCTCTTTCTCCAGCCGTGACCTAAAGATAACCTTTGTAGATCTAAGAAGTTCCAATATCGACATATTCAATCAGAAGCTGAGTGTCAGCGCAAGAAAATTTCTGACCATTGCAGCTCCGAAATGAAAGGAAAAATAGTTCTCAAAACTGTACGGATTCTAAGATAACTTACCTGCTCCACTGGTTCCTTCCATGATTCTAATCCTTTAACTTTTCTCTTTTCTTTCAATACGGGGATTTCGATTTCTTGATTTAATCTGAAAATATGAAAATCGTCAAGATCAACCCAAAGCAATGCAACCATACAATAGAGACAATAACCCACCGTAAGCATCCGTCGATTACTGTACCGGTCATAACAGTACCTTTGCCAGTTACAGGGAAGCAATGATCAACAGCGACAACGAGCCTAGAATGATTTCCATATAAATGGCTCCTAGCAGAGCCAGATTCTTTGATTCAGAAGAACCAAAGAAATTTCGTGTCTAACATTTGTTGAAAAAAAGAAACCAAAAAGCAGTTACCTCCCCGAATTCTCTCGCTGCGGTTCAAAAACTTTTGCTTGTAAAACCTTCATAAGTCCACTGAGCGTGTCATCCTTCACATCAATTAAAGATAATGGCACTACCTAAATTTACAGATTTACTTCAAGAACACTTGTGCGTCTAACACCTACCGGGGAATCTTCAGAGATTCCTAAGCTGACAAGTGCTTTTCTGATCTTCTTAGTAATACTGGGAATCTGCACTCAAATTCACGTAGTTAATAGACCATAAAGTTTGTCTCTTTAAACTAACCTCGCTTTGTTTTACCAAATCGATTTTATTCAACACTAGGATGACCTGTTTAGGGCAAAATATGGAACACAAAAGGAGATGCTCCGCTGTCTGAGGTTGAATTCCAGATGAGGCGTCGATGACCTTTAAAAGAGCATTTCTGTACAACGTTCAAAGGAATGCTAAGGAAAAGGGAAAAAATACAAAGTAAAACAATAATAATACAGTACAATAACACAAAAAAATAACTCACAACGATTGCCATGTCAAAAACACTACTTGCGGCTAATACCGCCTTGATGAGTCCTGCATGGCCAGGACAGTCGATTAATGCAAGTCGATGACCAGAAACGGTGAGAGAAGAAAAGCTAGAAAAATTTTTCAGAGCTGGTCAAACGACAGAATGTATCGATCAGGTTTTCTAGGATTCAATAACGCTCAAACCTATGACGTTTTTCAGCACAAAGAAAATTATAGTACAAAAATTCCAATGCTATGGTTAAACCTCAAC